TCTGCACATGGAGGTTCGCAAAGCGCTGTGCCTGCCACGAAATCTGCACGTGGAGGTTCACAAAGTGCACATGGAGGTTCACAAGGTGCTGTGCCTGCCACGAAATCTGCACATGGAGGTTCACAAAGTGCTGTGGCTGCCACGAATCTGCACTTCAAGAAACAAGTGAAAACTCTAACCACAATGGAGGGACGATTCCGAGCATGATCCGAGCATGATCTGAGCATGATCCGACCATGACCCGACCATGACCCGAGACCGTCTTGCGCACGTCGTTCCACAAAGCTTGACTTGCCAGCTTCGGAGCCACCCTTTCTATTGAAAACACAGTATTTCGTGCTTCCGCTATCTCTCGAAAACGCATTTTGTATTGCGCCTGCCACGAAATCTGCACATGGAGGTTCACAAAGTGCTGTGCCTGCCACGAAATCTGCACATGGAGGTCACAAAGTGCTGCACCTGCCACGAAATCTGCACATGCAGGTTCACAAGGTGCTGTGCCTGCCACGAAATCTGCACATGGAGGTTCACAAAGCGCTGCGCCTGCCACGTAAACTGGAGCTAGAGCCATTGAAACTAGAGCTAACTGGAGCTAGGGCTCTTGAAACTAGAGCTAACTGGAGCTAGAGCTCTTGAAACTAGAGCTACCTGGAGCTAGAGCTCTTGCAGCTCTTGAAACGAGAGCTAACTGGATGATGAGTGGTGTCTGATGAGTGGTGTATGATGAGTGGTGTATGATGAGTACTGTATTGAACAGCTGTTGAATGTCCGTAACACGGAAGTTTTGCACACTAAACTTCCTTTGACTAACAAATTACTAACATATCTAACAGCACGCCTAGCGATATGACAGCCTTCAAATCCCAAAAGACATGTTCAGTGTCGTTGGCCAGAGCATGCATTTAACATTGTTGAACGACAACATGAAAGCTGTGGGTCTGAGGGTCTGAGGCTTTGTTCGATACCTCTCTTAGCAAACCTCAGGATCTTGAGCGATAGCTGGTTGACTGATCCACATGAAATAGCCAGCAAAAGGCCCAGTTCGATGGCAAATGGCTGGGATTTGAGAGTTCACCACACCTGCAAGGCTGCTGTCGACATTGCAAGACATGGTCAGGATCCTCATCCCATGCGCATTCATCCGATTCTCACGATTCATCCGCTTACTGTATCTCCTCCCGTTCTCTCTCTCTCTCTCTCTCGCCGCTCTGGAGGCCTTTGCCCTTCCCCTTGGCAGGAGAGGCTGGCCTCGGGTCATCGACACCGCTCCGATCGGTTCGCGGTTGCAGTGGGGTCGGTAGGTGGTCGGAAGAGGTCGAGGTGGGGTCGGTAGGTGGTCGGTATAGAAGTGGGTTCAGAAGCAATCACTTTTGGTGTTGAAATACCCATGACACTTTTGATGTATGCCATTTCATGCCATCTGTTCATCAGATAGTATCTGATGAACAGATGGCATGAAATGGCTGTCGCTCCCTGACTGTTGCGTTCGTTCTGAACACCATTTGACCGGAGAGTCACGCGCGCAGAGATCGTACGTGACGTCACTCTCACGGGACCCATGACGGAAGACCAGGGGAACATCTTCGAGTGTCCCCAAATAGATGACCGTAGCAGGGTGAAACCATGTGAAACCATACATGTTTTAGCTTTTTCCATGCTTTTCCTATTTGGGCGTCTGTATATATGTGGGTTTGGATTTTCTGTTTTCTTTTTCTGTGCACTGTCCAAAGAGCCTAAACGTCCAAACAGCCGATCCCCTAAACGGTTTTTGGTCGGGTGAACCCCGAAGAGCTGTTCCGCTGGCCACATCTGATTGCGTCAAAAGAAGACAATGCAGGTCCCGAAACACCACAAAAAATGCCCATCAAAATCCATCTTTCAGACTACACTCCCGAGTCAACTCACATAGACCCTGACTCACATAGACCCCTGGAAGAGTGGTTTCCTCTACCAACCAGTGGTTTCCAGGGTCCCTGTCAGTTCCAGGGAGAGTAGCAAAAGAAGAGGGACTGGCTACAACATGCCATCAACGATAAAGCACCCCTGCAAGGCTTCGTCCGAGCTCCTGCACTGTGGAACCTGTTCTGATCTGCATGTTGCACCAGTCTGCATTGAACGATTCGCAAAGCCACCTGCCGTCCAAAGTTCTGGATGCCGCCTGCTTTGGCCGCGGATCCAGAACTGCGGATCGCCTCGTGTTGCGGAGCACCTCTACGATGGTATCCTTTTGAACGGGTTCCTGGTCTGTCCTGCTTGTTGCGAACGCAGGCCTCGAACGCAGGCGCACGGTCGATCTTGATAGATTTCAATCATTCAGAATTCAATATCCCAAACACTCCATGGGACTGGCATATATACCTACTACGTATAAATAAGCCAGTCGCACGGAGTGTCTGGGTATGTGAATGCTGACAAAACACTTGGCAAAACCGGGCCTGGAGCACCTGACATGCATATTTGGCGGATCAATATGAAGTCGTGGCCGCAAAACCCCTTTTGGATCCTTTTGTGCCAAGTTGTCGGTGGCTGATCAAGGAGTGCATCTTCCACATCATAGGCTTCAGCGATCGCCCGGACGACAGACGAAATCGGAAAGGGTGCCCAATGGAAGCCTATAGGTAGTGTGGGGTAGTCCATTGGACATCCCTTGGAGGGTCCAGGTATGATGTGGTTCTTCATGGGACATTATCTGAGAAAATCCCAGAACTTCAGGAGTTCAGCCTTTGGATCCTGCCGGTCTTGCACCCCTTGCTTCGCCGTGGACCGCTCTCCTTGTGAAGTTGTAGAATACGCTCTCCGCTCGGTCGAGCGCTGGAGAGCTGCTTTCATAGCCTTCATTGGTCCACTTTGGCTGCCAGTGACCAGTGCCCTTGTCCAGGCGGGTATACACACACACCTGCTGGGTATAGAAGGAGGCTTCATATTCGTCCAGAAGCGCTTGCAGTATTGAGTCAGTATTCTGGCACATTGCAATTCACCCCATCAGCCAGCTGCTGCTTCTCAATGTTTGCATCCGAACCTTAGATAGAGGACCAGTATCCCATGCCGATCTGTCCACTATCTAGCCCTGGCCATCGGCTGAAGCAGCAGCACTGGCACTTGACGGCATCCTCATGGGACTGAAAGTTGATGTAAGGCTAGTCCCCGGGTCTCAACTCTCTCCACATCGGTGGGTAAATAAACATCGTCGGCACGAGCCATGAGCTCAGAGTTTTTGAGGCAAACCCAGCTTGAGAACCGTGCTTTTTTTTTCCATCCTTGGTCCGGACCACGTACCCATACGTACCCCATACCTACACAAAAACGACCACCCCAACATAAATATTGCCTATATTGCCAGTCATTTGGAGTATCAGCGTTTGGTTTGAATCCAATGACGAACCTCTTCACCTGCTGTTGCCTCCATTTCAAGCGCTAACAATGCGGAACCTCATTGCCAAATGATATGGTGAAGGACATTGCCATTGCTTGCACCATAAAAATCCTTCCAAAAGTTTAAGCTGATTCCCTACGAACGCATTGGATGCACCCCTAACATCTCTACACCACCTGCCACGGATCGAGCCGAGCACTTGGAGATAGAAAATGATCAGCCCATTCTTCGTTCTTGAACGATTTCTTGAACAACAATAGCCTTAAATGGCCTTGAAACTGTGATTCATGCCTCTACTGGTCGAGCCCATTCGCAAATCGGCTCATTCAAGCTAATTTACTGACACCGCCGGTGGATGACCTTTGGGGCACAGAATAGTTCTCCCTCACTGAATCAATTGCTTCTCCAAGATATGCCTTCAGGAGAAAGGCTCCCAGGAACTCCTGGATCATCAGTGCCAAAGAGAATTCTTGCAGCATCTGAGCCAGAACTTCAGAGCTTTCTATAATCCTCTCTGAAGGTGTTTACAATGTTTACATACTTGTTTACATGTATAGCTTCCAATATCACCTATGTTAGCCATTTCATCCCCCAAATCCTCCCCCAAATGCTCCCATCCCAATCCCCACGTCCCCATCTCCTTCATCCCGATCCGCGGCTCTCCCTCTCCCCCGCGCCTGGCCGGCGCGGGCGGCGCGGGCGGCGCGGGCCGCAGCTCCTCGTCGCGCCTCGGTCGAAGGGTGTCGAGGCGCGAGGAGCTCGCTGGCGCTGAGATGTTCATGGAACATCAACTGCCATGGAACACGTCAGTTTGGGGTTTGGCTTGGGATGACCAGGCGCCAGGGCACCTGGAGGATGGTTAGATATGCAGGCCTGGCCTGCAGGTCTAAAAGAGTGATAACCCAAACACTCCATGGGGCTGGAATATTTACCTACATTGACCCCTGAAACCAGCAGTAGTTATATATGCCATACATGGAGTGTCTGGGAAATCGAAGAAACCGGTCTTGGATGGTCTTAGAGCTTCTTGCTGTGGCCTTGGAGCTATCCGTTGTCGACCGCAAACGTTAAAGTTGAACTGGCGCTCCACCACAAAATTCAGAAACACTCTCGAGTTGTTTTGTTTCTTTCGTGAGGAATGTTCTTTTCATGGGACGCACACACTCGGTCAGTGAAGGCTATAAGTGGTAGCATGACGTTATTGCTGGGCAAACATCACGAGTTGTGCCGCTTGTGATGCCATTCGCATTAATGGTGTTATACTATACCAAACACTCTGCTAGCTGCTAGGCGGACAGAACTTGGCTTGCAGGAACATGCTCCCTCTGATGGCATGCCCAAGTTGCATTGTAGCACGACTTCAAATTCCTGTTCCTCTTACATGTTGTGTGAAATCATCAACCCCCCTGTCATTCAATTCCCGTGCCATATTTCCCAATGAACGTTCCTCAAAGGAGATAAGCGATAGGCCTTTCAGCGGAATACATACATCATACAGACATCGTACACATATTGGCAAATGCCCAACATCTGCGAAGTGGGCCTTTATCCATGTAATGAAAGACTACAACTATCTGTTCAAACACTGACACTTCTCGAATCACCATGGGGAGTGTGGTTCAAAACTATCCTCACCTTCGGTGCCTGGTATCCATTGGCTTGAAGCAACAATTGGTCTGGCCCAGACCGTCTGGGTATATGTGAAGCATGATTGTTTGTATATATTATCCTTTCCTGCCAAGAACTGCTGCATCTTCGCGCCAGCATTTTTTGGTGACAGTGCTCAAAGCGTTCGGTCGGCTCATCCCGAAGCTCTGACTGCGACTCATCTCTACCTCGCTGACGGGGCAAAGATGAAGAAGATCGTTACTTAGCCGTTACTTTCACTCACCAAACGGGGCTCCGTTACATCAATCACATTCTCACCAGCCATGGCGCATGCCAAAGCTCGGCTGCTGCTCAGACTACATCCCTGTTCTTTCGTCAGAGAACATCAGGGTCAACACGGAGTACCCGGTCTACACGTGTGCACATGAGCCACTCTAAAAACTCATGGTTTTGCTTACATGACAAGACCATACAAGGCCTTGATATGACAAGACCTTGACTAAACATGTAAAGGAAGGTTTGAATCGAGCTGCTCACATGTCTGGATTGACACAGCGATCTGGATGAGATCCAAAGACCGACACAAACGAATCCTGCGGAATCCAAAAGTGACCCTAGTTTTTTGGGGGAGTCCCAATTTGTGACCTTGTACAGGCCCTTACCCTGTTTGTGACCTCAAAGCATATCAAGTTCGGCCACTTGGAAGAACCAAATGAGCCGAACATTGGGATTCTACCAACACGTTCGGCTGCCAGGTGATGGCGCGTCACGTCCCTTGGACGTGCCTTGGAAGGAGCGAGCAACTCATGACGTTTTGCCCGAGCTGCCTGGGTGAACTCGGCATCGAGTCGAAAGACATTCCGTTCGGCAAAAAAGAAACTCGAGTGTGTGTGTGTGTGTGTCAACCCCTGTTTCGAAGGGTCTTTTCAAGCTGACAATCGCAGGGGGACAGAGCTCTCTGATGCTACTCTGTCCAACGAAGCTATGCATCAGAGAGGGAAGCATCCACTGGCCATGGATGTGTACCTGCTTCAACGGTTGAACAGGCTGTCCAATTGACCTTGTTTGCTTTCATGGTTCTTCATGCTACCACCCCCAAACCTTTCCATTGCGTTCTTGCAGCTGAGCCGCGCGTTTTTGAGACCGTTTCGTTCTGTAGCTTGCGAGAAACATTTGTTCAAACACCTACAACTCTTCGGACTTT